AACTAATCCGGGCAAGTGCAGAGTGTAAATAGATATCTCTGATCGTCGCTGTTTTACGCTTGATACAAAATACCGGCGATTCCGTTGTTCACCGTTCGCCCTGCTATTTCGCCAACTTCTACGCGATTAGAGCGGTAACGAAAACAGCTGATATCACTTCGTTGAATTAATAATTAAAAAAAACACGAACCCGTATTTAGAAATGGGGAAATAATTACATACATAAATCTAAAAGAAGGGGACATTCTTGAAAATTGATTTATTTTAAGCCAGATTTAACAAATCCCCCTGAGTTCGCCGATATTGTGTTTCAGCCATTACATGAATGCAAGCGTAAAATTTTAATTTTGAAGTGACCGTGTCTGGCGGTTTTTGTGTTCACTAATTTTTGCTTTTAAATAACCTCGTTATAGAAAAGTCATTTTTGAAGCAAAATCAGGGTTAAATGATTTAAAATCCGCTATTAATTTAAAAAAAAAATCTATTTGATTGGTGATTTGATTCGATGGACAAATAAAAAATATAATTTATTTGTGAGTAGATTCAAAAACCAAATAAAAAATACATTTTATTTTCTCGAAAATCGTGCTTGTATTTCATAAAAAAGTGTTTTAGTTGGAGAATCAGTGAAACAAATAAATTTGCAATAAATTAATTTTTATTTGGTTTACGATTCAAATCACAAATAAATTTTTTTCATGATTTTATTAGACCAAAAAATAAAAGTGTATATTATTTAGGAATTTACGCAACTCTCACGTTTAAGAAAAAAAGCAGTATCTTAAAATAAAACTTCGTTAAAGAGGAGTTTTCGTTATAGATACGGTGACCAGATTGTAAACTAATGGGCTCAGAATATTTCTAAGAAATATAATTAAAAGAGTCAAAATTTTTATGAAACTTGTACGGATTGTTCTAATTTTCGGAGAATGCTAAAATGACTCTTACCTATTAATATTTTTTCCACTGCATCGAGAGCTTATATTTTTCATATCCATGATTTTTTTGAGGGAATTAGTATTATTTTTTACAATTTCACTAAATTCAAGTTAGAATCGTTCCATTAAAAAAAAACTTAGCAAATAGTTATAAAACCCTTACATTTTTTTTTTACAATAATTATGACTACAATACAACAAGAGTACCAGTTTGACAGAACAAAACATAATCAAAGATCATAGATATATTCTATGTTGTTTGTGATAGCGAAAGTGTTTCCACGTTTGTACGAAAAATTGTTTTTGGGTCAAAGTACAGGAAGACTGTTGTTAAATTAATAAAGAAAACACTGAAAATCGGGATTTAATCGGTACAAATATTAAAAATCTGGACTCGTATGCGTCCCGACTTTAAAGAAATATTTAGCGGGACAATTTTCACAAAATCGGTACTGTCCCGCAAAATCGGTACGAATGGTCACCGTAGTTATATAGAGGAGTCCTATTGTTAATGATTTTGACCAATTGACTGCTACATAAGCCCACTGTACATTCTACCTCTAAACGCAAAGCGTTTCAAAAGCTTTAGCAGTAGTAAAATATTCGACTCGTATCTGTAAGAAAACTTTACTTAGTATAAGTATATAGCTATGCATTTATGTAGGTATGTATGTAAGCGTATGCAAGCGAAATTTTTCCGGTGGTTTTTGCATTTTTTGCACCGTCTACTTCACAATTCTGCTGCGCTGGTATATTTTATATACAAAAAACAAAAAGGTATGATAAAAATTATATTGCAAAGCAAAAATTTTCTTCAAATAAATAAATAAATAATTTTCAAATAAAAATAACAACTTAAAGCAAAATTGTGCCAAAGTTGGATGACAAATTAGCTCAGCGGTGTGCAGCCATACATACATACATGCAAGCATACTTATGTATTTACGGAAGTGCGGTGCGCAGACAGTAAAAGTTGCAAATAATGCAAGAAATTCGGTCAATGTTAATGGAGTATTCAAGTACGCGACCTACTTAGTTAGCCCTTCAAAATTAAAGAATTACTAATCGAACAAAGTGAATGAACTAAACGAGTTCTCGCTCGCTAGCATTTAGCCTACTTTTAGGCATTTAACACAAGTTTTTTTAAGAATCGAGGAAAAATTGGCGCCCCCTGAGCCAAAATGCGGGCGCAGCTTGAAATGCATTCGAGATATCAAGATTTGTGGCACGTTCGCACCGTCGTACAAAGCTATTGTGTAATAGCCCTAAAGCCAATTAAATTTTAAGTGGTAGAAAACAAACTGAAAAATGTATAGCTTAGTGCAAATTTAGCTCCATAGCTGACGGAATAGATTCTTAATAGCCATGCTAAGTTTACGTGTTGTTGTAAGTTAATGAATTTAAAAATTTTGCAAAACAAATTGATTTCATTTATGATTTTTACATATACTTTTGTACATACATAGATCATTAAAACCGTTTTCGTTATAATGGCGGCTTTACATTTGACGGCCGACACGGATATCGTTTCAATATTCAAAAGTTCGCTTGGCCAAGAGGCATTGAGTGATGACGATTGCGGTTGCGGAAAATAATTACATATATCGGATAGAGTAAAAGATAAGATATGATATGATTGTAGTACTATATAGAAACAAATGCGCTTAATTTAAAAAATATGCATTTTAGAGTGCGTTTTTGCACTTAAAATAAAAATAAAATAAAAATCTACTTTGCAAATGTTCATTAAGCCCACATTTGCCAGTAAACTTCACTAACTCTTTGTAAAAACATAAAAATTCACCACCAATATAAATCTGCGATCATTAGCATATTGTATGCATGAAGAAATTTAAGAATTTAAGCCAATTAAATTTCCCTTCCAATTTCTGCTCGATTGCGAGTGGATCCATAATTTCGGCGCAACTATTTTCATGGGGTTCTCTGAAATGAACTAACACTCGTGAATTTTCTATAATCCACAATTGTTTCATTTTAAAAACAAAAATAATCGAGGTGCTGCCAATAGGGGCCGCTGGAAAACACTAATTGTCTTCTTCCGAAAGAGGAAATACGTCTTTACATTATGTGATACTAAAAAAATTTTGGATACAATGAAAGGGGGATCCATGTTACAAAACAGACACCAAATGAAGAAAACGTCCGCTTGCTTGGGATTGATGGTGGTTAGCCCAGCGGCCATCGTTGGCGAGTGGGTTCATATTGGTGCTATACTCGGTAAGCCCCGGCATAATATCTTTTACGAGGACCGACCAATTGACCTTCCATGTAGCAAGCGCACAGTGGTTCAAAACGGGAATTTAGTGTTCACAATTCACTGGAGCCTTCATTTTTCACTCAATTTGATAAATTTTTTTTTAATTAAAGTTACATAATAAAATTTGCAAGAGACCAGTTCAGCTCGATTTTTGAATTTTTGCTTGTTTGTATTAGCTTGGGACAGGAGAATCGAGTTTCTTCAAAATTGCTACTTTAATATGATTGAGTGAGAAATGGAGGCTCCAGTGAATTGTGAATACAAAATTCCAATTTCGAACCACTGTGTGACGCTCGTCAGGAAGCAATGGAAAGACCTTCAAGCAAGTTCTTTTGGCATAAAAAAATGTTTGCAAAAATCATCTGGCGTATCAAACCTTAGCGAAACTGTGAGCGTCAGTTATTTTTTTACGGAAAACAAACATACATACATCGAATGATTTGAGAAGCAGCTGTTGTTGGCTAAGAGTATACCGCGACAAACAGTCTACAACTAGGGCTTATCACAGAAGCCCTGAAGCCTTAATTTAGAGCCTAAAGATTTATTTTTAAACCAACCGCTTTTTATGGAGATTACCCTAATCTCCACTCAGCAAATCCAAACTTATATATATTCCGCTTACATGAAAGTTATAAACGGTTATTTTTTTACAATTTGAGCAGCATTTCACAAGTGATCAACAGGTTGCTTTGTAGGGATATAACCAAACCATGTCCAAACGGGATTTCTTTTTTAATTAAAGGTTCTTGAAAAGCTACTTTGGTATGCAGCTATCAACAAAAACATGTTGCAATCACTGGGAGAGTTCATCAGGTGGTGCATACCAAAATTTGTATATATCGCAGCCCGTATGCCAGAAACATGAATGTGTAAAAATTAAAGTTTTGGGAAATCAAGTTTTAATTTTTTTTCACCGAGACTCAACTCTAAATTTATGCAATTTAAATTATAAAATATGTGCTTTCCGTATACGCATGGTATTCTGGGTTTTGGTATAACATAGAACATGCAAAGGTTAATCAAGTTAACCCAATAACTCAAAACTGATAAATTTACACATTCATGCTTCTGGCATGAGAATGACGAGATATACATACGTACATTTGTATATTCTCAGATATAGGGTGATTAGAGATTTTGATAGTTTAAATTAATTTTATATTCTAATTTTATTTTTACATATGTATGTATGTATGCGCATACCTACTCTACTTCCAATAAATTTAACTGCTTCATTAGCTAGGTGTGTAAATGCGACTCGTAGATGTTATCTTCATTTACGGCCTACGAACACTTACATAAATCTCGCTTGTGAAGTGCTTTCAACCAGCTTTGCTATAGGAAATGCTTCGACAAATCATAATCAAAAAAAAGTGCATTTAATTTATTTCTGTCGGAAAATGGGAAATAAACTTGTTTCGCAGCAAAGACTTTTTATAGGCTTGTTCATTAGGAAAATAATCGAAATTAGTAGTAAAAAACGAATTAAGTATGTAAGTACATGAGTATGTAGATCATTCTATGGTGCATCCAAGGAACCACGCTCTCAATCTAATCAATTTATCTCGTATCGATACTCAAATCACCGCTGTCATGCATTCTATTACTCTTTCCTAGGCCAATAATGCACTGCCTGCGTACGCATATAAAAGGAGCTCGGTGTTTGTCCTCCGCACAGTTGAACGCGTAAAATGGATTACGCAGCATACATTCTACTGATTAGGCATTAATTCGAACTGAACTTGAATGGAAATTTTCAAAAACAGTTTTATTTACAGTTACCCTTGCGCTGTGTCATACCCCTCGGCTACTAGAAGCACACTTCGTCAAACAAGCGTCGATGTATACCCATCCAGAGCCACCGGGACTACCTTTTCTGCTAGGTGAGGTAGACAATAAGATACCACGTGACCCCACTGAAGACATTGAGGAGGTAGGAACCATCGGGCCACAAGGTTCCACAGGCCGTGATGGGCGTGACGATGCAGCTGGTCAACAAAGTACGCTTGGTTTACGTGGAGGACGTGGCTTCCCGCTCCCTAACAGACTACCTGGCGCTCCTCGGCAGAAGGAATTTATGGATAGGCCTGGACCAAAAGAAACTCGTGAAGCTTCCGTACGACAAATGCCATATTGCATTCAGGCGGAGGAGGAATTCGATAACTACGATTATGAGTGAAACGTCTGCAGAAAATATGAAAAAAGCTCTACAAAAGGCATCACATACATATGTTTGTATTAAAAAATGTATTAAAAGAATAAATAATTTAATGGTTATTGAATAATTAACTATTTTCTACGAGTATTAGGTTAACTAGGTCGTTAGATCTCAAAGATAGTATGGCAAAGGGAAAGCCAAGTGAGTGAATGCTGTTATCGCAATCACCTATGCACATACGTATACATATATGCATGTATGTATGTGTATAAGTGCGTTTGTGTTAAGTCACCAATTTACGAATATTCATCACTGATTTATTTGTGTGCGGTCAGTGATCTCTCACCAGCAGGCTGCCTGACCCACTAATATATACTACATACAAACATATGTACATATGTACCTACCTAACTTTGATTATAATGGCTACAACGATCGACTAAATTATGTCGCTTCACTTCAGTCATTTCGTCAACCATTCAAACTTAGACTTGTAGTTGATTTATTTTTGAAATTCCCAGAAACATTTCTTTC